CTGGAATGACTGGTTGACCAGTTGCTATGACACACACTGACAACCAGGTGGAAGATGCTCAATGCAAGATCTTTCCCCTGGTGGTCAGTGTGCTCCCACAGCCAAAGTCCCACATCTGGCTAACCTCCTGCAGCCCCTTTACCTGGCCAGCTGCGAGCTCTCTTCCCCCCCACCCCCCACCCCCATTGCCCCAATTAGGGTGAGGGTGCTGGCCAGCCAACCTCCTGCAGCCACACCCTCCTGGTGGGCCAATCTTCTGTGGCCCCTCCCCAGAACATCTTGGAATGTAGGAATGGGGAATGCGGTGACATCTTGAAGAAAGGATTTAGTCAACCACAGGCCCAAAAAGACAATAATTATAAACAATGACAACCTCTGGGAACAACAGTCACAGCCATAAATTCAAGTTCTCTCTTCAAAGGGCTTCATTTTAAGCTTCAGATCCCCAAATAATTGCCATGATTAGCACAACCTTTGAATATAAAAACAAGCTTTTTTTGTTGTTGTTGTTATAACATATGCTATAGACCCTGGGTCGGCAAACTGCGGCTCAGGAGCCACATGCGGCTCTTTGGCCCCTTGTGTGTAGCTCTTCCACAAAATACCACAGCCTGGGCGAGTCTATTTTGAAGAAGTGGCGTTAGAAGAAGTTGGAGTTTAAAAAATTTGGCTCTCAAAAGAAATTTCAATTGTTGTACTGTTGATATTTGGCTCTGTAGACTAATGAGTTTGCTGACCACTGATATATAGACCATTATTTTAAATATATATGTATATATGTGTATATGCATATATGAATATATGCATATATGCACACATATATGTGGGTGTCCCAAAAATATATGCACACTTTGAATAATTACTAAATCAGTGTTTATTTAAAATACATTTCATTTTTAAAATGTAATAGAAATCAGTTCATCAGCTCACATGAACTTTTTCTTAATAGCCTTTTTATTGTGAAATATAACATACACAGAAATCTTTTAAATGAAGTCCCTAGAGAAGCTTCTTGCACTGACCCTATTGGAAAAGCCTGAGAGGTTTAGGGGAACATGGTTAAGAAACGAGTGCTGTTGTGTACAAAGAGTATGGTTGGACTTTTCATATCACACTCTATATTTTCCTTTCTTTCTTTTTCTTTTTTAGTCAGAAATGAGCAAGTCTCCTTAATGATGTTATAAGGGAAACAGGGTGCTTACACAAAGTACAACTTGTAGGGAAAACATGCATTCACCTTGTGTTTACGGCCAAGGCCAAGGGTCAAAATGAAAATCATGTCCGGTGTGAACTGAAATAATCAAGAGGTTGCATGTGTAGTGCATTTTTATGTTTTCTGGAAGTTTGTTTTAAGACAAAGAACATGCTTATTAACAGTTCAGACTTTCCAGGGGACTAAATAACGGCTTAAAGACAATGATGAGGTTTGAGTCTATATGTGTGTATCAAGGGAAACACTGAATTTGCTTTTTGTACATACGTTCTATATGTCTTTTCTGAATAAGCAACAAGTTGGTGGTAGCTATTACTCCAAGTGGCTTCCAGATGTTAGTCATGTGACTGAGCAGAACTAGTCCCGGACAAGAGTGGCAAAAGAGAGCAATTGTTAGTATATCCAGTAATTTTAATAACCATGAAATACCCTTTCTCGTCTATCAACTCCACCTGCACAATGTAAAAAAACACACAAAACTACACAAATAGAAAATTTTTTAATGGGAAAGAGGAAGATTTAAATCTATATAACATATGTGAATCTACTCTTTTTTAAAAAAAATAAAGAAATAACTAAGTTCATGTTAGCTGGTTACTATTTATCTTTTCATGTTTTAATTTTTTTAGATTTTAAATGTTATGTCTATGCTGGATAGAAAGGAATATACATTCTTATAGTCTATGTTACGATATTAAAAGCTCTTTTAATGTTTTACATAGTTTAGGTAAAAACTGTCATTAAATTGTTTCAGCCTAAGTTGAACATTAGTGCATTTTACATTTGTGTGTGTGTGTGTGTGTGTGTGTGTGTGTATGTAAAGTAAAATAAATAATTCATACTTTTGCAAATAAAGGTATGTATTTTTTCTGGCTTCCTTGAAATTATATTTCAAATGCCAACACACTTCATGGGTGGCATTCCTCACTGAGAAGCAAGACAGGAATCGATATTTTTTATTACAGTCAAGTCACTTGTCTTTGTAAACAAAATATTTTTCATGTTTTCCCATTTAGACCTCAATGTTAGCAAGAAGTATACACAAATTGTTAGAAGAGAGAAATAAATTACACAGATAAACAGCTTTTTTTAAAAGATCATCACTGGTACAAACTGAAGCAAGAAATTGAAATAGTCAATTGTGGTTCTAAAAGCTAGTTTTAAAAAATGTAAATTATTCAGTTGATGTTTGTTCATCTCTTGTACTTTCCCTATTGACACAGGTGTAGTTAGTGATATTTCTGAACATCCTTTGTCTATTATGCATCCTATAATGACCATGTAAATATAAACTAGTGGGGAACAGAGGAGAAAAATTAAGTGAAAATTATCTTCACACACACACACATTTGCAGTCTACTTTCCAGAAAAAGAATACTTACTAAGGACTTAGCACAGTGGCAGCATTAAAGACAAACTCTTTTATTTTTTGTGGCTTGTTTTAGGCCCATTGTATGAGAGTGGGGAATGGGAATTACAGAAAAGTAAATGATGAAATGCACAAATGTTGGAGAGCAGGTATAAAGGGCATTTGAGCCCAGAACAGGAAAATCTTTAAGATCCCAAGAATGGAGGCAATGACTATGTTAAAATGTATAATCTCATATAACCATTCCTTTCTAAAGCATTTAGTTCTGTTTTATACGAATTCAGGACCTTTGAGTTTTTTCCCCACACAGTTTTCACAAATGGTCAAAGGGAATGTATAAAGAAAGTTACATTGTGAGTTTATAAAATTTTAAAAAATTGAATGCTGGGCATTTTACCCAATGGATACCTATTGTTTATGTACATGTGTTTCTCTGTCCCTTTGAATAATGCAACAGGTAAAAACCAATCAATGGCCTGGCCAGTGTGGCTCAATGGTTGAGTGTTAACCTATGAACCACAAAGTCACAGATGGATTCCCAGTTAGGGCACATACCAGGTTTGCAGGCTGGATCCCCAGTAGGGGGCATGCAGGAGGCAGCCAATTGTTGATTCTTTCTCATCATGGGTGTTTCTATTTCTCTCTCCCTCTCCTTCCTCTCTGAAATCAACATATATATATATATATATATATATATATATATATATATATATATATATATATATATTTTTTTAAAAAAAAGAACAATGGAGAGGATACAACTGGATGCTCAAAAATGAATAAAACAACTATTGGATAACTGCAATGTCTGCATGACTAATGTGATTTCATTTAACTGCAATCATTTGAAAATACCAAACATACTACTCTAAATGGCTAATATTTCAATCACTTTTTTAAGTCAACAAGCGTGCCCTAAAGGATTTCTAAACACATAGTGGAACAGCAAACTAAATTCTGACCCTGACATTTATATGTAGAGAGCCCAACAGATATTGAAACTTTGCAAAAAGAGAGACTTTCCTGTTTTGCCTTTATTTTGTTTACTTGATTCTCTTAGTTTAGACATTCAAGTTAGCAAAAACGGAGTGCATCCATAATGGGCACACAGACTGGCTGAAAGCAAATGAGCAACAACAAAATAATTAAAAGATACACAAAGAATAAAAGAATGTACCAATAAAGTTCTTCCCAGGATAATTTCCCCCTCAAGTTCAACAGGGCAAAAGATCCACCATAAAAGAAGCAAACAACCATCCTGAAACTTAATTACATTTCAAAGTACTGCAGTCACATGAAAGGAACAAAACATTTTTGTTCAATAGTTTGCCTACCAGATGGCATTTCTAAATATAGTCATCTCAAACCTTCTGTTTGTTCTATAAATAAAGATGAAAGGAATAGCAACAATAGCTAAGCATTTAAATCACTGGAAATAAAAGAGCACTTTGATTAGGTTGGAAGAATCTGGCCGATTCGAAATAATGATCCTGAACCTGGGAAGGCTCAAGTTCAAGGTGAAACTCAGAATCCCACACCTTCAGGTACTACTCAAGCAGGTGGTCATTGTGATGGAGAAATAAGCCAGGAACTAACAGCAGGAGAATTGGGGACATCTGAAGAACCACAGGAATTCTTAATCGATAGGAGATTCCAAATCCCAGAAGCTTTGCTTTGTTTTTGTGTTTAAATAACATAGCTGGTGTGTGTCTTGTCTTATTTTTTGTGAGCTAATGTGTAAATGTGGGTACCAGTTAAGGATCTATGTAGAGGCCTGCCTGAGAAGGCACATGGACATTCTTTAAACTGTTAGCTGAGCCCAAGGCACCCGCAGAGTCCAGGTGTCAGCAGGGGCGGGTCTAGATATGTAAATCCAGTGATGCTAGGGCCTAGTTAAGTATGCAAATAAGCTCCTTTGACCCTATAAAATAAACCTGTTCCGGGAGCCTTACTGCCTCTCCACCAGAAAGATGGCGCCCACCTAGCGCCCAGCTTGATGAATCTATTTCTCCCTCCTTGTCTCTTCTTTCTCTAATTTCTTAATCCCCAGCTCCTCCACTCAGGAACCTGATGGACACAGAAAACAGAGAAACAGCCCACCGCAGACCTAAAGTCTGGAGTCAAATGGGCCCTATGTGTGAGTCCAAACTCTACAAAGGACAGGTAAGATGACCCTGAGTCAAGTTCTTTACCTCTGCACCTCACTGGCAAAAACAGCAACAGTTCCGAGTTCTATGGGAATTTCCTTAAGATGCTTCTTGGCACCTCGAATATGCAATGAATGTCAGTTGCTTATTATTATTGCTAGCAATAATAAACACAGCTGTGAAGGAATAATTGTTTCTGATTTTTTTGCTGTCTCAAAGGCATGGAGTCATGCACAGCAAGGTTTTCCATTTGTAGAACTTAAAGCCTTACCTGGCCTCTCTCCACATGGCCTGAGCATAGCACTGCCCTCCTCTCACCTGGCTCTTGGAGGTTAACGAGATTCACCTGGGGAAGGCGGGTCTAGAGATAGAAGAATTGTTGTGAGAATTCATCATCCGCACTCATCCTGTCCTCCTTAATGACTCCACTCTCAGCACTCTGAGCTCAAAATCTGTAGGTTTTAGTGAAAGAACTCAAAAAGCTCCTTTGTGAGCTGGGTTTCGAATGGCAAGTGGATTCCCATCCGTAGCATGGTATAACCGTGTGTTAGCACAGAGTGTGATAGAGAAGCAGGTCAGCTGCTTGGGAGTAGGGTGATTACCTTTAACCAAAAAGATAAGTTGCAATGGCTTCAATGTGATGTCAATTACAACGAATGAGAGTCAGGTGTTCAACAGCACTTACAGTTCCACTGGGTTATTTAGAATTTTTATATGAGGAAAGAGCCATCTGTGCTAGGGCTACAGCCCTCAGTATTAAAAGATGTCTGTGGTTAGATATTTACATAGAAAGTAATTTTATTTTGGGGGAAGGGGTGCTTTTATAAAATATGATAATATATGCATAACATTAACTTAATGGCCCAGCCATTGTAGCTCAGTGGTTGAACCTCAGCACGTGTCCACAACACGTGTCCCTATGAACCAGGTGGTTATGGTTTGACTCCCAGTCAGGGCACATGCCCAGGTTGCAGGCTCGGTCCCCAGAAGGGGACGAGCAGGAGGCAGCCGATCAATGATTCTCTCTCATTTATGATGTTTCTATCTCTCCCTCCCTCTCTTCCTCTCTGAAAATCAACAAAAATATATTTTTTAAAAAATTATCCATTTAAGTATATAGTTCAGAACAACATAGACTGATGACAAGAACAGACCCAGAGATAAAAAGCCATGGGTCAGACTGTTGGACCTCAGAGGGAGGGTGGGGATAAAAGGGAGAGATCAACCAAAGGACTTATGTGCACACATATGAGCCTAACCAGTGGTCAAGGACAATAAGGGGGTGGGAGCATGAGTGGAGGAGGTAGGGGATTGGAATGGGGGGTTGAGGACAAATATGGGATACCTTAATCAATAAAGAAATTAATTTTTTTTAAAGTATATAGTTCAGTGGCTATAGCCATTAAAGAGTAGCTCCCCATTCTTCCCTCCCCTCAGGCCTTGGTAAGTACTACCTTACTTTCAGTCTTTCATAAAATTGTCTATGCTAGGTACCTCATGTAAGTGAAATCACACAATATTTGTCCTTCGTGACTAGCTTACTTAGCGTAATGTTTTTCTTTCTTTCTTTCTTTCTTTCTTTCTTTCTTTCTTTCTTTCTTTCTTTCTTTCTTTCTTCTTTCTTTTTTTTAATAAGTAATCATTTTATTTGTTGTGTTTAGAAATGTAAAGGTTTGGGGGAAGAATCCTTAAATCTTAACTGAAGTAATGGAAATTCTAGACAGTAAAATATGCCAAACGACAAACGCTATTATTCAATTGTTTTTGAGCAATAGTAGGTTGTGTGCATAAGGCAAATTCCACCTAAGATTACAAAGCGATTTGTTATGGATCCCCTTAGAAGGATTTGCACAATTATAAGGAGAAAACAGATCCTTAGATTTAATTTTTTGGCTATGTCAGTGTATAAAATAACCATGTGATTACAGTAGGTCCTTGGGTTATGTCAGAGATTAGTTCTTACGGTGCGATGTAACACGGTTTTTGCCATAAGTCCAAACCCAGCTACATAAGCACCTACGTCACTCACATGGAGCACATACACAGCAGTAATGCAGCAAACAGTAAAAACAAATTAAATGAAAGATAACAATTCCTGACCTTTACTTGTAGTAAATAAATAATAAAAAAAAGCACATATGTACATACGTCGAAATGACGGAACCTAAATAAATGGGAGACGGTGATATAACTACGAAATGGCATACGTGGAGTCTAACATAACCCGAGGACTGCCTGTATATAATACTAAAGTGTTTTTATAGTGCCTACTATGTTTTCTGCAGTTCTTTTTTTTTTATAGCGTGTTTTCAAGGTTCACCTATGTTGTATCAAAATTTCGTTCCTTTTTAAGGCTGAATAATATTCCATTGTGTGTCTATACCACATTTTGTTTTCCGTTAATCCAAGGATGGACATTTGAGTTGGTTACTGTGAAAAATGTTGCCATCAACACTGGTGTACACGTATGTTTGCGGCCCTGCTTTCATGTTCTCTGTGTGGGGTTTTTCTCTTTGCATTTACATTTTGGAAGTGAAATGGTTAGATCATATGGTAATTCTGTTCAACTTTTTGAGGAGAAACTGCCAAACTATTTTTTCCTTAGCTGCTGCACCATTTTGCGATCCCATCAACTTGCGAGAGGTCTAAAGTCTTCGTTTATTTTCCATTTTTTTCCATAACCCATGGGGGTGAGGTGGTCCCACTTTAAGTTAGATTTGTTTTGTAAACTATCTTTTTTTAATTATACAAAGAGTGCTATTCCCCCCCCCCCCGAGTATCAATAGCTAGTTAGCTACATCTTGTTCAAGCTCCCAAGCCGAAGGTACTACCCTGTTTCCCCGAAAATAAGACAGTGTCTTGTATTAATTTTTGCTCCCAAAGATGCGCTAGGACTTATTTTCAGGGGATGTCTTATTTTTCCATGAAGAAGAATACGGTACACATTTATTGTTAAATGAAAATAAAGGAAATGTATTACCTGTATACGGTAAGGCAGTTATCAACACAAACCAGACAAACTGTGAATCCTACAGTATCAAGAATTTACTCATTTATTCAATGACAATCATGTCATCATCTTCTGGAACATCATCATCACAATCCAATTCCTGAATTTCCTGGTGAATTTCTTGTGACTCCGTTTTTTTCAGAATCAGTGGACCAAATCTCTCATGTTTAGCCTGGGGGATGGCTTATTTTTTGGGGGGATGCCTTATAATTCACTTAGAAGGAAACCTGTAAGTAGGTCTTATTTTCGGGAAAACACGGTATATGTCGATACCTGTTCCACTTTAAAATTATGAACACCGATATGTTCCCAAACAAACAAAAAAAAAGTCCTTAGTTTAGGATTTCTGTTTAAAACCCTACAGCAAAGAAAATATTTTTATACATATTCCTTGCCCTTACCGAAGCTGCCTCTTCTATAAAACCACTCTTAGCAAAAAAAACAAAAAACAAAAAACAAAAAACGAACTCACAGCATCCACAGAACTTGACCCAGAAGCGGGACAGCGCCTGGCCTGTTGCGCATGCGCGTCCTCAGGCACGCCTCGCTTTCCCCCCCCGCCCGGCGTGCGCGTGCGTGCTTACGTGCGCGGGCACGTAGGACGTCGGAGGGGCGGGGCCTGCGGGCCCACTCGGGTCGTGGCGGCAGCCATGGCGGCGGTGTCGGGGTCTGTTCGCCTGCAGCGGTGCGTGGTGTCGCCGGCTGGGAGGCACAGCGCCTCCCTCATTTTCCTGCACGGCTCAGGTGGCTTCCGGTTTTATGTCCTTGTTCCCCTGCCCTTTGGGAAACACCCTCCGTCCCCGCCCCAGTGATGCCCCCGCCGGAGGAAGCGCCGGGCCCCGCCACCCCCATCGTGCCGGCGGGCTCGGAGCGGGCGGCTGCCCCTCGGTATCCCCGCGCCTGTGGACACAGGGACAGCGTGATCATTGTCTCAAGGCGTCCCCCTTCGCCTTAGTTTCTTCTCTGTTGGGTTCCCTGGCCTTGGGTCCTGACTTCCGGTCCAGCCCTCTGTCTGGTCCGCCACACGTGTCCCTTGGTGTCCTTGCCAGTCCCCATCCCTCTCCCCCGAGTTTAAACAGAGCAAATTAGTAAGTCCTCTTCCGGGGACAAAGAGACGACTTCTCGGGGGCTAGTCATGAGGGATTGGGGTTTTTCAGCAGCAGTGGAGTCACCTGCCACTCCTCCCTCCCGCAGGGCTGGAGGCCCTTGAGAGGCACCTGTTAACTTCATTGTTATTAACATCATTGTTATTCTCTTTCCTGCCTCCCCTTCTTTTCCCAGCCCCTTTACCCACCCCCCTCCTGTCACCAAGCATCCCAAGAGATAGCACAAAGCCAAGGCCGCCTGCCTTTGGTGATCCTGCCTTTGGTGATGGTGTCCTTGATCCTGTGGGTTTCTGAAACGCCTCTGTAATTGACACTCATGTCTGCCTGGCCCTCTGGTTGTGGAGTTTATGGGGAGTAAGGACCCTGGTTTTAATCTTGGCGTCCCTAGTGGTTGGCCCAGGGGGAAGTTCTTGGGAAATGGTTTTTAGTTTGGGGTGGTTGTTTTTTTTGGGGGGGGGATTATTTTTGTTTTGTTTTTTTGGTGGAGGGAGGTGTGTGTTTAAGCAATGAGATGCAGCCAGCGTTCGAAGGGGGCCTACCTAGAGTTAAAAAAAAAAAAAAATAAATAAATAAATAATAAATAAAAAGCCGAAACCGGTTTGACTCAGTGGATAGAGCGGAGGTCTGCGGACTGAAAAGTCCTGGGTTTGATTTCCTTCAAGGGCATGTAGTACCTTGGTTGCGGGCACATCCCCAGTGGGTGTGTGCAGGAGGCAGCTGGTTGATGTATCTCTCTCGATGTTTCTAGCTCTCTATTCCTCTCCCTTCCTCTCTGTGAAAAATCAGTAAAATATATTTTTAAAAAACTCAATTAGTTTGAGTTCAGCTGTGAAGGGAGGGGGCGAGGTCACGAGATGGTGCACGTTTTTCTGCCAAGGGAATTGCGAGGGGGAAGCTGTGGTTTGGCCTTTTTAAGGCTTTTGGAAGATGAAGGGGGTCATCCGACTTGTTTGGGGAAGTGGTCTTGAGGCTGAGACTTAGGTCATAAACATTCAAGAGGAGGTGGATTCGCGTGGTACTCGGTGGAGGGTCGAAGGTTTGTCGTTTTGGAAATGAATCTCCGGTGGTCGAACAGCCTGCCCCAAGGCCACCTGGGTGTTATCCCCTTTAAGTAGTGGAGGAATTGAGGCTTGAGCAGAGAACTTTCTGGGTCCAGGATTGGGGTGCTGGAGAGGTAAGGTGAAACACACACACACACTGAAATTGAACGAGGATGTTTCATTTTGGAAATAGAAAAGGGCCAGCAATGTTTAAAAGGAAAGACTTGACTATTAAAGCATAATCAGAAGGTGAGATGTCTTAAGGTAACAACTAGGCGGCTGTTAGGAATTTTGAATCCAAGGGGTATTCATTTGTAAGCACCCAGAAATTCCCCAGCACCATACTCTTTTTAATAAGTTAATTATTTTACAGTATTTTTCGGAAACACTCCTAGGCTTTTTATTTTTTTCCTTGGCCAGTTTGCTTAAATGAACTATTACTTTTTTTCAGTTTCAGATGATGACATTTTAAAAACTTGTAACTTTATAGTTCTGAAACTTTTAGTTGTGAAAACTTGTAACTATATAGCTCTGAGTTGTCCATTGTGTGTGTGTAATTGTGTGTGCGTGTATATATATCTAGGTTTTTCCCTTTGTACTTAAGGAATTTATCCAGCGAATTCTGCCAATTTTGCAACTAAAATTCAATTTCTGTACATTTAGAGCTCCATTTAGCAAATAAAACTCTTATTAGGAGTATGATTTTACATTAAACTTGGATGGATGTGGTTATGGGATAGGAGATATTTGGCTTCTGGTTAATCCAAATGTGGGTAAACCAGTTTTAATAGCTTTACCCTGCTCTTGGAATAAGGTGCTGGCTTTTTAAAAGGGGAAAGGGGGACTTGGTAACTGGGTGGGTGGATGGTGGTTTGTAGCATTAATGCTCTTGGAATAAGGTGCTTTTCAAGGTTGATGAAAAATATTCAGAGTCAGATTTCCGGTGTTTTGTTTTATTCTGTTTTATTCCGTTTTGTTTTGTTTAAATCTTAAGAGTTTGAGGTTCTCTTCTGGAATACTTATGGCTGCCATAGAATGAATGGGGAGGCAGTGGAAGTTATATAAAACCAAATCAACTTGAGCCTTTCCTGCTACTAAAATACCAAAGAAGTAACTTTTCTCAGGGCAGTGGAAACACATGATAGTTAACTAGCTTTGTTCACCCTCCCAGATTACATGAATACACTTATTTATTTCCCTAGGACACTGTAGTCCAGTGGTATTTGTAATGACCTATTTTAATTTCTGTATTCCACAGTAAGTTACAAGGTTCATGCAGGCCCAAACTGCGCATGTCTTGCTTTCGCCGGTAATGTTACATCACTGAAACCATGGACTCTTGCGATTTCCCAGGGTAGAGATCACCAGAAACGAATGCAGAGGGTGGTACCTTGTCTGAGAATTGAACCTGGGCCTTCCAGGTCACAGGTGAGAGTCCTGCCACTCTCCCGCTGGGTTCTTGTTACTGCCCGGAATAGAAATCAAGAGCTCACCAGAAACCAATGTAGAGAAAGTAGGTTTGCTTGTGCATAAGTGAGAACCACAAAGGGAAAGGCCATGAGCTGCTCCTCAAACCAAGGCAGGGCGGATTTTAAAGGGGCTTAGATGGGAAATGTGACGGTTAAGGATACAGAGGCGAGGCTTTTCTGGTGCTTGCGCAGCGTGACTACATGCTTCTTCATGTGTCACGTGTCTCAGTACCATGTGATATCTCCACCCAGGGGTATTTTTCTTTAGCAGTTCAATGAGGGGAGGTCAGGAAAGGATAGTCTTTCTTGCTAGTGTTCATGTGTGAACAAGGGGGGAAAAACTTAATTGCTGCCCCCACCCCCTGCCAAAAATAAATAGATGTCACAGGCAGCAGTATACTTCAATCTGGTGATGATTGGTTGTAGGCCGAGGGAAGGTCTTGGCTTCCTGCCAGCTGGGCCCAGGGAGCAGCAGCCCGCCTACCTCAGTGAGCCTGGGCCAGCTGATTGGGTCGGCGCTTCAAGTCGCCAGTGTTGCTAAGTAATGGTCATTTTTCAGTCTTTCCCTTATGTGAACTGTCAGCAGCATTCAGCTTTCCTGAAACACTGTCCTGGTTCTTTCCACCTCTGTTTGCTTCTTCTGGTTTATTTTGCAGACTCGTCCTTCTCTGGCTATTCATGTGGAGATTCCTCAATATTTGGTCCTAGGTCCTCTTCTCATCTCACATTCCTCTCCCTGGGCCAACCTCCATATAAGCCCACCGATTGTATCTTTACCCAAATACAGGAAGCACAAATGTGTGTCTCCATTTTAGATCACAGTTGAGCTCAAGACATGTTTCTCCACTAGCCTAGCAATCACTAATGCATTAGTCCACTCATTCAAGAAATATCTATTACATGGCCACTCTGTTCGCAGCTCTGGGCATACAGCAATGAACAAAGCTAACAAATCCTTGCTCCCCTGGAGTTTACATCCTAGTGGAGGGTATATATAGTAGCAGATAGTACGTTCTATGGGGAAAAAAAGAAAAAGAAAACAGGAATAAGGAGTAGCTAGCTGCTCCATGCATTTTCTGTCTCTGCACTATATTGTTCACCTGGTGTTCTGGCCCAAGTCTCACTGTCAGTCTTGAAACCTTTTACCAATGGCAACCCCCCCCCCCCACCCCCATATCTTACCAATTTCTGTTAATTTTAGCTCCTAATATCTCTAGTTCCTATTTCTGTATATTCCACTGCTGTTCCGCTCATCTAAGTATCTGTCACCTGAATAGTAGCCTCTAACTCACATGTGTCAAACACAAGGCCCGCGGGCCAAATCCGTCCCGCCAGGCCTTGCAATGTGGCCCGCACCGCGCTGTCATCACTGCACTCCGCTGCGTTTCCATCACAATGACAGTTTATGACTGTTCAGTAAACCATTCGGCCAGCGATTTAGGCTGGATTTTAGATTTTGGCCCCTTCTCTGATTGAGTTCGACACCCCTACTCTAACTGGTCTCCACATCTTTTGTCCTTCAGTTCTGTCTTCACAGTTCCCAGGTGATCCTTCGAGCAAATCACCTTCCTGCCAAAATATTTATCTACCCTTTCTGTGCTCTTAGTATGTGTCAGGTTCCTTCAGCTTCTCTAGCCTCATTTATTTTCTTATAATTACAGTTTTATTATGGCATAAGAATACAAGTTAGAACCGGCCAAAAGAAGAGCAGTGAAGGGAAAGCCAGGGAGCGTTCAAAACCTGAGTCTTTTGTCATCCTCAGTAATGAATTAACTCCCAGCTCTGAGGTCTGACAATACCCAAATGAATATTGTCACAAAGGGAGTTCCACCTGAACTTTTATCCAGAGTTTTTATTGGTGTTTTATTGCGTAGACATGATTGATTTGGCACTC